ATACTAGAGATCAGGGACTAAACATAGACATTGGATTTTTGATACATTACAATCTGCCTGGCAACTGACTCCCCAGCCCAGCCCAGCCCCTGGCTTGTTTACTTTTCATTCCATCCAGGAAGAGCGCACACCAACTGCTGAAGCTTCCTTAGCCTGACGAAGGGTTTTTGAACCCGAAAGCTTGCTTAATAACTATTCTGCAACCATTTGGGTTGGTCTAATAAAAGATATCAAATTCACCCAAGGAACCTTGTCTGCCTATATCCTTAGACCAACGCGGCTACAACCTAAACCCCTGCGGAAATAACAATAATTCATCTTAAAATTTCATGAAAATCCATTTCTGTGGATTTTATGGATTATTTTTACCATATGGGGCCTCTTAAACTGGACATAGTTTAGGGCCTCAGGATGTCATAATCCAGCACTGACTGAGCAGTAGCAATGAGTTTGTTGGCAGGCACTAACTGCTCGGCAACCATACTGCACAGTAGTAATGAGTCCATTGCTACTGTGCAGTAGTATCTAAAAAAAACCCCAACCCTTCCAGAGACTGTACTGCGCAGTAATGCCAGTTGCAGCACAGTCATTTAATACTTGTTTATGCATCTACATGAGCTTATGCTTATTCGTCTGCATGAGTGGCAGTTATTACTGCGCAATCCGCCACTTGTGCAGACGTGGCCGCTGTCTGTCAATGAGAACTGGAAGGAGGCTGTTAGTTCATTTCACAGAGACCACTGAGCCATCATGTGGTGGTATTTTCTGATCACCACCAGTCAGGAGAAAATTGAGATGAAGGATCTAGGCTGAAAAATCCTATATGAGCCTCCAAACAAACTCTGTGCTCCTCACATTCCCAAAGGCTGCGGAAAATCAAATCCAGATTGAGGCATTACAGCTAAACCCAATCTACCCACAATCCAATCCTCTGAACTCCCAAATATTTGTCATATGTGGCATAGGGGATGCAGTAACGAAACTTAAGGCCTAACAAGGATTAGCAAGAAAATGTTTCTGTTATCACTTCTGAGCTAA